TTTGGGAATCTGGGATTGTCAGGTATCGGGGGAGTAATCAGAAATTTTGGAGGGAGGATATTAGCATTATTCTCTGGACCTATTGGCATGGGCAACTCTCTAAAAGCTGAGGTAATGGCATTGCTACAAGGATTGAAGATAGCCAAGCAACTAGGAATGAGGCAAATTGAGGTTGAAGGGGATTCCAAGGTGATCATCTCTTGGGCTAATAACAATAGAACTACTCCGTGGACCTTTAAACAAGTGATAAGGGAAGTGGAAAAGGTTGCAAGGGAGATAGAAGCAGAATTCAAATGGGTTAGAAGAAGTGCAAATGGGCTAACTGATTATCTTGCTAAACCAGGGGCTTTGAGGCAACAATTGTTTTGGGCTGCATTGTAAAAGGGACAGAAATATGTATTCGTGTGGGACTTCTTGTTCCATACACATTGTTGTAAAACTTCTTAAATCTAATTTCAAATAAAAGTTTCCTTTGATGATAAAAAAAAATGTACCAAATCAACACAAAAATGTAGCCTATCAAGACTCAAGAGTGGTTTTCTAACGTAATTAATTAATAGTGACCAACCAAACAATGGACCAAGATTTAAAGCATCAAAACCCAAACAAAAATGATGTATCAAATAAGCCAACTACCTTGAGTCTTGACCACCAAAATGACCTCTCAAGCTTAGTCAATAAATCCCAGCCATCCAAATGATGCACCAAGACTTTGACTGATCCAGTCCATCCAAATGAGATGCCACTCAACCCAAAGATCTAGGCCAATTGTCTCCTAATATCAGTAAACTAATCTCAGCCATCCATGCAATTGCTAATGTTGTTCATTCATTCATTGCAATAAAAAATCTTCTTAAAAGGCAATGAAAGTTATAAAATCATCATTTTTATATGAGAAAAAAGAATTTCAGACCCTAATATAGACTTGTTCGGGCTTGCCTCAAGGGGCATGGTACAAAGGCGACTCATAGAATCAAGAATGCAATGTTTTACATCACATTAGCTACTTGATGCAACGCAATTAAGCAAAAAAAAAGAGATTGTGGGTTTTACATGCTTGAAAATGCTTTATATGTTTGCTTTTATTTTTAAAATTTCATTTGAATACGCTTTACCTGTTATGTTTATGTATTTTAAATTTAGATAATAGGTTTTTTAAAACATTTATTTTAAAATTTAAGTTTATATTTTTTATTAACATTATGTTTAATATTATTTTTTGCATTTTTTAAAACTTTTTTACTTTATTTTTTGAATTTCCTGACATTTTTTTTTGTAATTTTGCACCTTGCTTAAAAAGGCACGCACCTTGCGCCTCAGGCACAAATTGACCCTTGCACTTTTAAAACACTAGGTCCAACCAGAGCCAAGCGCCCGAGCTCAATGTTGTGTAAAATTTTTGAATTGGCTACTAAACTTGCACCCCTAGACAAAACAAGCCCAGGGCCTAGGAATTGAACAGTCAACTTATTCCCAAACTTAACCTACAAATCGAATTGGACCAGAACAGGTATGAGTTTTAGCCTAATCCAAATTGAGTTAGGGGGCATTTGCAACTTTTCATACTTTAGGTAGTAAAATGACACACCCCCATAGTTCAGGGGGTTTTTGGAGTTTATCCCCCCCCCCACACAAAAAAAAAAGAAAAAATTTATCAAAAAAGAAAAAGAAAAAAAAGTACTCACACAAGATACATTGGTTCTAAAAACCGCATACTAAATAGTATTCGGCTCAGGTGGCCTATTTCCTTAACCCAAGCCTAAACATTTAAGCTTTAGCCAAGAACCTTATCTAAGACCAACCAAGTTGTGACACCAATTGCTGCAGCGTGCAGTGTTGAGTTTAGAACTTCTCTGTAAGGACAAAAGGTTCAAAATTCAAATTACAATAGTGAACTTCTCAGCTATTGAGTTTTCCTCCCACAAATAATATATATATATATATATATATATACACACACACACATAAATATTATCAAAATTCGTGAGCTTTGATTGGTCAAAACTCTTCCAGTACCATATCTTTCCAGCATCATAGATTTTCCCATCTCCAAAGTAATTCCTTAGGCCCCTTTTCATAAAGAAACATGGGCACATAATACATTTTACAGCCGCCAATGTTTATATATGCTTTTCATGGTTTACCTGTAATAACTTTATATAAGATATCTAAGATTGGTATAATAGAGGCTGATAAAAAAAGATTGGTATTATAGAGGACATACAATATATTTTGAGAAATGAAAACAAGAAAATTAGCAGGTTTAATTAATCAGTTATAATCAGGTTCATGTCATACCTCATCTGCCCAATTAAGTATGGAGTTCTAGGTCCATTACTATAGGGTCTGGGTTGGGGCAGAATCCATGCTTATCTTATCGGTTTGGGATCAGATCTACCCTAAGCAGGGCCAGAGGCCAGAGTGCCAGAGCTAGCCTATTGACAGGCCCGCATTTGGATCAATTCAGAAGCAGCATGCACTCAATAGTTAGCCAAGGAAATACTACATGGAGCATTCAATAATTGCATGGTCATGAACCTTATGTTTATTTATTGAAATAAAAAAAAAAGTTGAAATTTGAAAGAGGACACAGATAGTCAAAAGTCTGAGTTTTGACCTGACCATTATGTTTTCACCATTCTAATTCTTCACTCTAATGCAACAGGGATAAAACTCCCATTGCTGTCCTTCACAAGGAAGTCCTAAAGGTACCCATCTTTACAAAGACAAGAACTTCTTGCTCAAGCTTCCAGGTAGCTCATTAGGAAAAGAACACTTTCAAAATACTATGAAGGAAAAGGGGGACCAGATGCTTGGTGCACAGCCACATAGCAGTTGATGTGCCTGCATGAAGGGGAAATATAGATTATAGACAATGAGTCATCCATTGCAATTTGTGTCCAAAACTCAGAACTACTTCACCACCCTACATGGTATCAAACTCGTTGTTCATTAGTATGTGCAAATTTCCTTAAGATCAATATTGCAGTGCAGAGGGTAACGAAGAGTCAAGTGGAAATGTCTGTTCCATGGAATTATTTTGGAGTATATATTGGAAGAGGATTACTTGGGAAAAGGGATAAGGCCTGGATGATGACGATAATGATATTGGAAGAGGATCAATAGAATTTTCAAAACATGGCGAGGTCCTCTCCGGCAATAATTGAACTAGTTATGGTTAAAGCAAATCACAAATCTCCCCGTACTACAACGCAACAATCTCTTATGTCAAAACAGAAAAATGTTCCCCTTATAACAATCTACAATTGTTATTATTTCTTTGTGGATCAGCACTTGCTCTAATTTCATGCACTTTTAGTAACATCTCAACCAAATTGACTACAACCGTTCTGTTTCTTTCTAATATCGTGACGAAGAACATAAACCTAAGATATTACAGTGAATATAGAAAAAGAACAACCATTTCTAACCTGGTATGTCATGTTCCTGGTAGCTGGTGCCCATTCATCAGCAATTCTCTTCCTTAAGAGATCTGGATCAGCAGTAGGTGGAAGACGAACATCGAGACCCGCTTCTGCTTCCGAAGGTTGCATATTCATTACAAAACCCTGCATATAATTGCTCTTCAATTCCTAGCTTTCCTTCACAATGAATAATTTTGACTAAAATAATCAATTGCGCGCAACTAGAACAAATTGCGACTATCTAACCGTAGGAGAAGGAGTTCCAGCTTTCAGATACACTGGATTCACTGAGATAACTTCCGAGTTTGCAGCCACTTTAGCCTTAACCAAATCAAATTGATTCTCCCTAAACCGAGAAATAGTCTCCATACTCTTCATCAAATTCTCCATCGCACTATTGTCATACATCCTCGACCCATGCCCGGGCATTCCAACAGCCTTGATGATCAAGTGCCAAGGCGACCGGTCAGCATAAAAAACCCTAAATTCATCGGTGGTTGACGCCTGACCTTCATCCAACATGAACCCAATATTCAAATCCTGAAACTCCTTGGACGCCGCAAACTTGGCAGCTCCATCAAACCCACCAATCTCCTCATCAGGGACATAGGATATGTGAACTGTGCGAAGTGGCTGGAACTTACGCTTCATTCGGAGGTTTCGGATTGCTTCGAGGTACTGAATTGCGATGCACTTGTCGTCCTGAGAACCCCTGGCGTAGATTTTTCCGTCGGAAGTTCGGGTGGCGGAGAAGGGCGGGTGGAGCCATTTGGATGGCTCGGCGGGGACGCTGTCGAGGTGAGAGTTGAGGAGGATTGAAGGGAGAGAAGGGTCAGAACCCGGCCAGGTTACGAGGAGGAGGGGCTTCCCGGGGGAGAATTCTAGGGTTAGGGTTTTGAGACCGATGGAATGGACTTCTGAGGTGAAGAAGGAGACGGCGGAGGCGTAGTCTGGGTTTGGATGAGCGGTTTTGATTCGGAGGTAGCGCTGGAAGCGGGTGATGGGTGTGTCTTCTTGCTCTGGTTGGCTTTGAGATGTAATTGTTGGCGGGAAAAGGGAGAGGAAGATCAGGAGTGTGAAAAGTGAGAGCAGGAGTCGACTTATGCTGGACATGGCAGTGACTGCGAAGTAACAGCAGTTCAGTTCTACGATCCTTGTTATCTCGAGTGGAGCCTAATGACGAGCTTGCAATGGAGATAGGATCTGCTCCTCACATAGGGCGCCTCACACGCACATCCCATTGCTAAGGCAGCAACTTGGGCCGGATTGGCCGGAAGGTTGGGTTAGGTTGATGTTTGGGTTAGCGTTAGGGTTGGAATTCATGAACTCGACTTTATTTTGGGTTGGGTTAGGGTTAACCCCTTAGTCAACCCGATTCAACCCGAACCCAACTCTATAGTATATGTCATAGATAAATATATGTTATATTTAATATATAACATACATTGATTTATTTAGATACATGATATTTGTATAGCCCCCACCAAATATCATGTATTTCTTTTAAGATAATCACTTCACTTAATCTTAATTAGAAAGACTAAAACCTTAATAACATTATTTTTTTTTTAAGTTTTATTCTTCATCTCCTCTATGTTGTTTGTCGCCCAAAAAAGATTTATCGTAAATCGTTAGTCATAATAAACTATAGTCATTTCTAACACTTGTTTTTTTTTTGAATTTTGTACTAAAAGAACAAAAAAAATAATGTCAACAAGCAAATACTAATGAAACGTAGGATTAATATATGTAGTGAAAGTTGAGTTAAGATCTAAAATCGAGAAATTCTATGAGGTTTTAAAGGATGGGGAGAAGGTTGGGTTGGGTTAGGGTTGAAAGAATTTAGTTAGGGTTAGGGTTGGGGTTTAGAACTTAGGGTTGGGATGGGGTTAGCCTCAACCCGACCTAACCCGGCCCGACTTGCAGCCCTACATCCTACCATGCATTGGGAACATCTTCTGGCCTTATAAGTTATTATTCACGGGAAATGTTCCCAATGCACGGTGGATGTGCATGTGAGAAGGGATATGCTATTAACATTCCCAATGTGATGGGAAGCAGGATCTGCTCCTCACAAATGGGTGCCTCACATGCATGTCCGTGCATTGAGAACATCTCTCGTGAATAATAACTAATAAATACGGGAGATGTTCCCAATGCATGATAGGATGTACGTGTGAGGCGCCAGGTGTGAGGAGCAGATCCGGTCTCATGTGATGGAGATAATTGATGGGGCCATTAACAGTGGAGAAAAGGGATATGCTATTAACAGAATGGAATTTGTTCCTCACACATGGGCGGCTCACAAGCACATCCACCGTGCATTGGAAACATTTCGCTTGGCATTTGTTCCTCACATGTGTTTCACTTGCCCCCATAGGTTGTAGGGTTCACTTAAAATTTTCCATCCAAATTTCGCTTGGCATGCAACATTCACCCATGTTGATTTATTTATACCCCAGCCCCCATTTTGTTTGGATTGACAAATTCGTTCCCACCCTACTAAGTGGAATTTTTGTTACTCTTTTCCCATAGAAGTTTCCTCTGCATTTTGTCTTTCTTATATTTTATTTTGGAAGATTGAAGGACCGCATGGTGTAAAGTGGGATCGTAGAGTGACCTTACCAGCAGTTGGTAACATATTTTGCTTCCATCCACAAAGCTTTTTCTTTCCTCAATTCTACTAAAAGTGGATTTACTAACTCTCCCCTCTATAATTAGGACTCCAAGGTAGTTTTCATTTTTGTTTTCTTGGATAATCTTTAGGATTCTTTCAATAATTTTCTGATTTTTTCTTGGGGTATTCTTAGAACAATACAAGTTGGATTTCCTCATGTTTGGAAATTGACTCGAAAATTTTGCATATTTTTCCAATATTTCTTTGTTCTTAAGGTATTGTTTATCGATGCTTTTGCAAAGACTATATAGTCATATGCAAGTTGCAGAATGGGAATATCTGGACCCTCTCTAGATGTAGCAAATCCAAGGTTAGCACCTTTTGTTTCTAAGCATACCATCCTCGTTAACACTTCTTTACATAGAACAAATAGGTAGAGGGAGAGAGGGTCTTCCTATCGAACACCCCTAGTGGGTTTAAATTGTTCAGCTGGGGAACCATTAATCAAAGACGGTTGAAACACATTGCATCACCTAGTTAATCCACCTCTCATTAAAACCATACCTCTTTAACACTTTTTCTATAAAATTCCACTCAAGCCTATCATAGGCCTTTTCCATGTCAACTTACAAGCCCGCTTTGCCCTTCTTCCTTTTCATTGGGTTGAATAGTTCATGTGATATTAGTATGATGTCTATGATTTGTCTTTTTGCCATGAAAACACTTTGCAAAGTACCTTGCATTGAGAATATCTCTGTATTGGTATGTCTTTTTTCATTAGGAAATATTCCCAATGCAAGGCTGCAAGGGACTGCGCGAACAGTGTGAACACCGAAGCCAACGATAAAAATGTCCTTCGAATATCATCTAATTTTCTTTATCAACCAATCATATTAAAGTCATCTTATCCTCTCTCTCTCTCTCTCCATATAAAGTCTCTTTTGCTATTACTATCTCTTTACAATCTCATAGCCAAAGAAGACCGTTGCCAAAGGTAATTGACGATGAGCAACAACATTATTTCTTGCCTGTTTTCTAATTTCTTCTGTTGATAATGCTTCATAGCAACACCGAAAATGATACTAAAGGCTAAAAAATAAAGGAAACTTAAGGAATTGAGTGGAAACATTAAGGTTCACTTTGGAAATTATGTAAATGCCCATTTGAGTCATTAATGTGTTACGATTTGATTTTGCTAACAGTTGGTAGCATTGCAGTTACACCGAACAAGAGGGGAAAGTAGGTATTATCTTTTGGATACAAACTTTTACGCTCATTGATTGAAAATGTAAACGGGCAAGATGATTGCACATCATTCGAGTAAGGAGTGTTTCACCATTCCTTCCAAACCCATACCAACGGTGAGTTCCCATCTCTCATTTCCAACCACAGCAATGTGAAAATTTTGACCTTGACAACACGAGAGCAAGTGCTATGCTCCCAATGCACAGAGGAAAATAAAAATGATGTGAGATTTCCATCATTCTACTACAACCAAAGATAATTGAGTTTTCGGTTTATCTTAACCTTTTTACTAACTCTTCATCTCAAGATTTGGTTGTTTTGGGTCATTTGACATCAATTTTTGTTAAATTCAAGTAGCTTTGATTTGTCTATGGTGGACCATTTTCTGACCACAAAAGCCTCGCTCTTATGCTTTATATTTAAATTTGAGATTAAGAAAATTTAGTCTTCTAAGAAGTTTGCTTCATGGATCTAAGATCATACAATGTTCTTAGAACATAAACCTACAACATGGATCATATTCACATATTTTTTTGGCATCATCAGTGAAGTAAGAAAGGAATCTACCCACAATATCCAAAGCAGAATTATAAAATTTGGGAGAAATCTAAATTATTGATGATCCATGCAAAGAGTGATAGGTTCTGATTTGATAATCTTTCTTCAACTATGGTGCAAAGAAAACAAAAGGGACCAGAATTTGTAACCATGTATGGGTTGAAGGAAAATGTTGGGTGACACTCCAACACATATGCCTTCATTCTATTATGACGACTCAACTCCTCTCTTGAAGTAAATTGGCCTTCCCTTTGTTTTCATGGTAAAAGGTACCAGTACTAAAGTCATTTTTAAGGCAACAGACTTAACTCTAACACTGGATTCAAAAGGTCTCTACACAATCAAGCTTTGTTTTTATGGTGAGACCATCATCCCCGATCACCCCTATTCTCCCTCTTCTGTTATCTTCTTCAACTTCAACCACCTCTTCCTCTATTATTACCTCAACCAACCCACAAACCCTCTTTCTTATCTCCCATGATTCCGTTCCCTTTGAATTTTACTGACATTCTGAAACAAACAACAACAAAAATGCATCGGTTTTGCATCTTTCCAATCAAACATGAGCAATACAAATGACCACACAATACTAGTTTACACTTTGCACTCATTGAACTATTTTATTTTGTATTTGTGCCCTGAAATTTTGTTTTTCCATCATTTCCAAACACAGTCTAAGATCTTATTTTTTAGGTTCCCCCCCCCCCCCCAATTCGGGAAGAGAAACAAGACCAATTTTAAAATACTTCTCATAAGGTATGGTTTAAGTATAATATCAAGGATGCTTAGAGAGAAGAAGCACCAAACCTAATTCCCAAAGAAACAAATTAGTAGATGTAATTCCAAGAAAGATAACAATGTAATTCAATTATGATGGAATTGTGTTGAAGTGTTGAACCAACATATAAAGTTTGTGAAATATAGTGAAATCTAAGTCCAAGCGTGAAATGTAGTTTCTTTACCAAAATGGTCTCTATTAGGTGCGAAATGCAGTTTCTTGTCATCCATGTTATTGGAAGTTATCAGATGGAATTTATGTCCTATCCCCTCTTCTCTTAATTCCGTGAAATGTAGTTTCTTTATCAAGTGTGAACTGCAGTCTCTTTCTTATATGCTTGTGGTTTCATTCAAAAGTGTTCTCTGCTCTTTTCATTCAACGACCAAACTTGAATGAAAACAAGAAGTGAGATTAGCCCTAAGGTTTTTGGGAGTTCAGGTACCGCAGTGGCACATTTTGAAATTAGGGTACTAAAGTGAGACTAGCCTTAAAGTACAGGCACTAATCTACAATTTACCCAAATCAAAATTCCTTTGATAAATAAAACCTGATATTTCCATATCCATATACCTATCTATAATATTATAGAGAGAGTTTTATTTTTAATTTTTTTTATTTTGGTAAAAAGATATTCATTAAAAGGGATCCAATAGAAATAGATGGAAAGACCTTCACATAACTTCATAATATCATCTTTGATGAACACCAAATCAGGGAGACAAGGGTTGCTAGAGTTCAAGAGCTGATTGATTAGCTGAACAGAGTCTAGTTCAACCATGACATTAACAAAGTCTTTAGATTTTAGAACTTTTAATGCTTCAAAAAGAGCAAGCCCTTCAAATAGTCGCAATTGGCCCACCTACACACACTATTTAAATCTCTTGCAATGAAGAACCCGAGTAGAAATTTATTAGGAGTCAAAAAAAACCCCATAAACATCCAGCTTTAAAGAACCCAATCTTGTAGGAGCAA